TGAGATTAACAAAGGACTATAAATCAGACGAATAATTTTCTGTATTTTGCTGACAGTTGGAAACATTAGCATTTTACCATTATGTTAAGCAGTTGAAGGAATGGTATACTTTAAAAGTATAATGCCAGAAAATGGTTCAGCTCTATTATAAAATTTCGATAACACTTATAGGTGACTGATACATATAAAAGAATTAGACACAAGATAATTATATACGATTGCGGAATTGTCAACCCTTATTTCCACCTTACATATAAAATTCCATAGTATTATACATTGAACGACGGTTATCGGACTAATAAAAGCTGAGTGGTGGAGTCATACATTTTCAAAGTTAGTGAGACATTGCTATCCCTCTATATGAGTATTAATAACGAAAATCCGATTGTAGGTACGAAWGACGAATCAAAATTAACCCAAAATGCATTGGTGACACTATCGAAAAAAAATGTATGCAGAGTTACAAAATAAATGAAAAAGTAATATATGTATTGAATATTCTAGTAGGGAAAGAGATATCCCATTTTTAAATGGCTATAGCATAATATACTAGTCGACATTTGATATTTTGTTCAATAATTAAACTTAATGATTGATAATTATCGTGATTTTTATATGAAAATAAATTRTTAACGTTTTTTACCTTGTCGGTTTCTTACTCTTGGAATATTTTACTGCAGTGTCGTTTTTTAATTGACTTTTTTCCGTGTCACTTTTTTTRTGCGTATCATTTAACCGCATTTATACTACACATTTATAAATTATCTTCCATTTATAAATGTATTATAATATTAATAACCCGTACAGCTATACAGTAGATAATACTATGAATTTATATTATACCCCCCAACACTACCTTTATCAAATCGAGTAAAATATGTAATTATTTCTGGCCGTTCCATTCATACCTCATGGGTGAGCTGATATAATTATGATATATATACAAGCTACGTAGTTATAGCACGAATATCCATATATGCGTATACATAATATATAAGTATACCTACACTATACATCTTGTGTTTGGTATAATAGTTACCTACATGTTTATGTAAACCAGTTGAAGTCATGACTTAGTATAATAATTGTATACTTAATAAAAATTTCAATTATATCTAGTAATATTTAATATTTTACTATTGTGTACCTATTTGTGTATTATATTCAGATTATATTAATATTATTATTTCCATCAATTTAAATTATTTGTTGACAAATATTTCAGTGAAGCGACTAAA